AATCTTAAACCCTAAATCCTAAACCCTAAATCTTAAATCTAGATTATAGAGCTGGTTGTCCTTTTCCGAAAAGGACAACAAGCGCGACTAAATATTGAAAACCGGAAGCTTAAGAGCAGCCACACGAAAAGAAAGGAGGGGACCTCGAGATTCGCAACCGGCCTTGTCTAAAAGGCACATTTTATGAACAGAATTTGTCACTTGAAAATCACCAGCAAAAATCCAAATTTCCGGAGGCTAAATCCTAAATCCTAAACCCTAAAACCAAAATCCTAAATCCTAAATGTTAAACCCTAAATCCTAAATCCTAAACCCTAACTCCCAAATCCTAAATCTAGGTTTTAGAGCTGGTTGTCGAAAAAGAAAGGAGGGAACCTCGAGATTCGCAACCGGCTTTGTCTAAAAGGCACATTTTATGAACAGAATTTGTCACTTGAAAAGCACCAGCAAAAATCCAAATTTCCGGAAGCTAAATCCTAAATCCTAAATCCTAAACCCTAAATCCTAAACCCTAATCCTAAATCCTAAATCCTAAACCCTAAATCCTAAACCCTAAATCCCAAATCCTAAATCTAAGTTTTCCCGGGGGTGTACCGGGGCGTCCCGGGAAGGGCCTGGGACTCCGGTCCTGGGGCGTCCCGGGGGGGGCCCGAGACAATTGTTTCGGGGGGGTCCCGCGACTCCCCGAGATAACCCGGGACAATGTCCCGGGGAGGCCCTGGGACAACTGTCCCGGGGGGGCCCTGGGACAACTGTCCCGGGGGGGCCCCGGGACAAGCGGAGTTTGCGTATGAGAAGTTACTACCTAGACGCTGAAGCCTGCAGGCATTAATCCGAAACCTAGAAGTAAACAACCCTAAACCCTAGAATCCTAAACCCTAAATCCTAGAATCCTAAACCCTAAATCCTAGAATCCTAAACCCTAAATCCTAGAATCCTAAACCTTAACCCTAGAATCCTAAACCCTTAACCCTAGAATCCTAAACCCTAAATCCTAAAATCTAACCCTAAATCCTAGAATCCTAAACCCTAAACGGTAAAATCCTAAACCCTAAATCCTAGAATCCTAAACCCTAAACTGTAAAATCCTAAACCCTAAATCCTAGAATCCTAAACCCTACATCCTAAAATCCTAAACCCTAAACCCTAAAATCCTAAAATCCTAAATCCTAGAATCCTAAACCCTAAATCTTAAAATCCTAAACCCTAAATCCTAGAATCCTAAACCCTAAACCCTAACTCCTAGAATCCTAAACCCTAAATCCTGAATCCTAAGCGCCCTCCAGAGTCAATGGTTCACGGTTTGGGGTTACTCTTTAGCTACGCTAAAGGTGGTCTGGATACGGCCAGCCCTTAATTGAGTTCGGACGTTGTCGTAAGCAAGGCCACGTTCGTTGGCCTGTCCAGGACAGGCGGCGAGGCTTAACCCTCGCCTTTCCGTCTCTCTTTCCGTATGGGCGCTCGGGCTGTTAGGCCCTCGGCCGAGCGCTCGGGGCCTGTCGTTCGACGGTTTCGGCCCCTCGCTTAGTTTAGGGTTTAGGGTTTAGGGTTTAGGGGTTTAGGGTTTAGGGTTTAGGGTTTATGGTTTAGGGTTTATGGTTTAGGGTTTAGGGTTTAGGGTTTAGGGTTTAGGGTTTAGGGTTCAGCAGCTCTGACTTTGAACATTTCATGTCAGGCTATTTCTCGTCAAGCTATCTTCCAGAAGAAACCCCACCCGCCCACAGAATCCCATTACATTAGATTTACGAGTTTTATTTCTTTTGGCTTGAATCTTTAAAAGATCACTTACATACAACTATTACAGATCATAACTTTTCATTCTTTCGATCAAGCAGGTGCTGTTTCTTTACAGTCGTTCTTGCCACACGCTTCACTTTAAGAAATTATTTCTGCCGACCAGCTTTCTAAGAGAGCTAGTTAAGAAACGCAACATCGCCCTAACCCGCCGAAGCTGCGGTCACGCCATCGCTTTACGATCGCAACCATAGCTGTCAAGTGTCATGACTTGAATCTCCTCAACTAGCAACCACAGCTATCCAGCTTTCTAACAGATCTAGTTAAGAAACACAAGATCGCCCTAACCCGCCGAAGCTGCGGTCACGCCATCGCTTTACGATAGCAACCATAGCTGTCGATAGCAACCATAGCTGTCCAGCGTCATGACTTGAATCTCCTCACCTAGAACAGCTATCGAATTCGATTTCATGTCTTTCAATGTTTCCACATCGGACTGTGTCCACTGCCTGAACACAAGATCGCCCTAACCCGCCGAAGCTGCGGTCACGCCATCGCTTTACGATAGCAACCATAGCTGTCCAGTGTCATGACTTGAATCTCCTCACCTAGAACAGCTATCGAATTCGATTTCAATGTTTCCACATCGGACTGTGTCCACTGCCTGACAACATTGCCTCCAACAGTTGAAGCTGCGGTCACGCCATCGCTTTACGATAGCAATCATGCCTTTTTTAACTGCCCAGTTGAAGGCCAGCACGAGAATGTTGTTGTTCGGCCTGCCTCGACAGCATTCTGTCCGCAGGGTGAATTTGGTGGTGCATCGGGGATAAGCTTAGGGTGGCGTTAGAGCAGAGAGCCTAGTGTTGCGGTTTTCCAGTGTCATGACTTGAATCTCCTCACCTAGAACAGCTATCGAATTCGATTTCATGTCTTTCAATGTTTCCACATCGGACTGTGTCCACTGCCTGACAACATTGCCTCCAACAGTTGAAGCTGCGGTCACGCCATCGTTTTACGATAGCAACCACCGCTATCTATCAAGTTTCTTTGCGATGACCGTTCAGCTGAAACCCTTCACCGCCAGGCCTCCAAAGACCTTTTCGCGCGCGCGCGCGCGCGCGTTGTTGGGGGGTCAGAGGCCGAAGCCGGCTCCGGGGCTCCAGGGGGTCAGAGGCAGGCCTTCGGCCTCGGGCTGCTCCAGGCCGCTGCTTACATGTCGCCAGGCTCGTCTGCGGCATGTCGCAAAACGCTTTTTTTTTGAAAATTGCAAGAATTTTCAAAGGCTTCCACGATGACTGCTTTCGACGACAAAGAAGCTTCTTGTGCTACACATCATGACATGTGTACAACATCGATCCATATCGCTTCTTAATCGACGTCAACTAAAGAACTCTACATCATTTGAAGTTCTTCGACGGCTTACATACGTTCCGAAACGAAGTCACAGCCATCCAAGCCACAACCACGCAGAATCAAAACGACGCCCTTCGCAGAATCAAGGCGACACCCTTCAGCGGAGCACTGTGTCACACCCCGCGGGCCCTCGACCGGACGAGCCTACGTCATTTGAGCTCCTCTGTCTGTTTGCGCCCTTCCCGAAGATACCCTTTCAAACCAAAAATTTGGTGTTTCAAAGGGCCCGCGGGGCCAACGCAGAATCAACCCTACAACAGTTCACGCGGACCCTGCAATCAAAAGGGTAAGCTCGGGAGTGGGTTTGCGGACATAGTTTGACCTCCCCTGTCCATCTATGGCCCTCCCGCGGCTCCCCTTGAACACCAGTTTCCGCATGAAGGGTCGCAGAATGCAGAATCACATTCGCACACCCTTCCTGCGGTAAAGGGTCTTCAAGGGGAGCCGCGGGAGGGCTATAGATGGACAGGGTAGGTCAAACTATGTCCGCAAACCCACTCCTGAGCCCACCTGAAGGCTTACAGTATCCCCATGAACTGTGTCAGATTGATTCTGCATTCTGCGACCCTTCATGCGGAAACTGTTCTTCAAGGGGAGCCGCGGGAGGGCCATAGATGGACAGGGGAGGTCAAACTATGTCCGCAAACCCACTCCCGAGCTTACCCTTTTGATTGCAGGGTCCGCGTGAACTGTTGTAGGGTTGATTCTGCGTTGCCCGCGCGGGCGCCCTCAAACACAAAATTTTGGTATCTTCCAGCGGGCTTCGGGAGGGCCGCAAACAGACAGAGGAGCTCAAATGAGGTAGGCTCGTCCGGTCGAGGGCCCGCGGGGTGTGAGAGAGTGATTCTGCGGAGCGTGTCGTTTTGATTCTGCGTGGTTGTTGCTTGGATGGCTGTGACTTCGTTTCGGAACGTATGTAAGTCGCTGAAGAACTTCAAATGATGTAGAGTTCTTCACTTCAAGGCCGTTAATGATCGATGTAGTTGCATATCCAGCTAGGTTTGCATTGAGTATTTGTTTCGCTGGAGTTCGCATCTCGCTTAGGGATGTGACTAGTTGCTTTGCAGAGAATGATGTGTGAGCACCACAAGTTCACTTTGTCGTTGAAAGCAGTCATCGTGGAAGCATTCGAAAATGCTTCGGATTTTCAAAAAAAAAGCGTTTTGCGAGATGCCGCAGACGAGCCTGGCGACATGTAAGCAGCGGCCTGGAGCAGCCCGGGGCCGAAGCCCGGCTTTGCTGCCTCTGACCCCCTGGAGCCCCGGAGCCGGCTTCGGCCTCTGACCCCCCAACAACGCGCGCGCGCGCGCGCGAAAAGGTCTTTGGAGGCCTGGCGGTGAAGGGTTTCAGCTGAACGGTCATCGCAAAGAAACTTGATATGATAGCGGTGGTTGCTATCATAAAACGATGGCGTGACCGCAGCTGCAGGTCTTTCTTGCAGTACCTTTCATTAAAACTCGCGGACAAGCACTGACCGCAAGAGACATGTTCTAGGCTTGAATAAGCTAGAGATGTGGCTCTATGAGAGCAAGCCCTGGTTCAAATTTTGACAACTGCTTTAACTCTCGAAGTCGTGATTACCTTATTGTGGTAAGGTGTTTGCTTGAATGAGTCAGTCAACAACATTGCCGCAGCTCAAAGACGCACAAAGAAAGGAGCTAGCAAGCAAGGAACAAGAAAGTTGTAAACCAAAACGCTCGAACTTTGACAAGCTAGCAAAGGCATGCATGCCATGCATTTTTTATTTCTGTTCGCGGTGTTACTTTCAGGCTCACTGGTGCTTGCACAAACCATGTTTTGTAGTTGTTTCGGCTGAAAGTGTTGACTCTTTCTTCATATCCATCGACGGCATGCCGTTCTCTCAGCATTTGCGAGCTGCTGCCTCGGTCATCGACCTTTGCGACGAGCCGACGACCCCGAAGCCGCCGACCAAGGAGGCGCCGGAGCCGACGATCAAGAAGCCTTCGGTGAGGCACACCGTGAAGAAGCCGCCGGCTGAGCGCAAAGTCAAGACCGAACCCAAGACAACCGGAGCAGTGGAGGAGGCACCGAAGAAGCGACCTGCTTCGCGCATGTCCGCAAGAGGCTTAGGTCTAACCCACCAGTGGGCAGCACATGCGGGCAACGGCCCTTGCTGCGGCCGCGGCAGCCAGCCTTGTGTTTTCGGTGAGTTCTCGTCGCCTGCACCCGCTGCACCCAACGGTGCCTGCGATCTGTGCGACGTTGGAATGATGGCCACACTCCACGAGTCCATGTCGAGTCGATTGACGCACTTGCTCGGCAAGCTCGATGCAGGTGTCGCTGAACATGCTTTTGGATACATTCGAGATACTTTGGGATCTACGGCAGAGGCGGACTATCGCTTCAAAGTGCAGCGATCTCGGCAGCGCAAAAACCCGGCACGACCTCGCCGAGCAACTCGAGGACCCTACAAGAAGAAGAGCACGGAGAAGTCCGATGCAGAGGACTGACGCTGCCTGCACAGTTCGGAAATCTAGAATGATATCCTCCTGAGCGTGCTTATCAAGGCCGAGGTCAAGTGCATCTGGCTTGTTTGATTCCTAAACCTTTCTCAGGTTTGGCATCTTAACAGATTGCAGCTTCCCCACGGCAAGGGAGCAGAGGGGTGATGTTTCAAGCAATCTTTACAGTGTGTTGCAATGTACAATGCTGCCACGCCGAGGGTTGGAGACTCTCCGGTGTTGAGTTAACATGCAAGCATACGCAGGCATCTGTGATAGAAAATTAACTTTGCAAGTGTTGCATGCATGTCGTGACCTTGTTGTTTCGCACTCGCTTGAAGAAACTGTTGCAGCTCCTTACCCAAGTCGTGTCCTCGTTGCTCTGCCAGTCCTTCTCGCTTTAACATGGCAAGCGGACTTTTCGAACAAGTTGACAATGAGCCCGTCGAGCAAGACAAGAAGAAGGAGCGCCGAGTCAAGTTGTTCAGTTACGACTCCGTGGCAGCCCAAATGTTGGAACCCTACGGAGAGAACGGATTGGATTCTCTTACTCTTCAGCAGGTGTGGGCGGGCACCTCCAAAGGAAACAAGAGCTGTGTCTACCACTCTCACTTGGCAGCCGATCAATCTTCAGACGCCTGGCATGTAGGCGCGGGCATCAGCATGACCGCGGCCGCGCTCCTGGCCGCCATCGATAATTTCAAGAGCCCGAACATGAAAAATCTTATCGTCCCGATGTTGTATGATAAGGTGCTGATGGAGATTACAACCCTGGAACCGACTTTGTTGGCGCTGAACTTCGGCAAGGGCTCAGCCACTGCAACGGATACAGGTTCGTTTCGTGCAGCAAAAAAGGCCAAGCTGACCTCGTCGGTCAACACCGCGGATGCAATCGCTTCAACGGTGGACCCGGCAGAGGCAGCAGTGAAGTTTCGCAAATGGTTGCTGCAGGAGAAGAGCGCATTCCGAGGCTTTCTCTTCGTGCTGTCTGGCAAGAACAGCTACTACACCGGTCAGGTCGCCGAGCTGGTGGCGCGCTCAGCCGTCACTTGCAAGCCGATGTCGGAAGAAGACTTTGTGAATGCAGTCAAAGCCCGAATGCAAAAGCCAGAGGAAGGGCTTGGCAGCAAAGTTGCTGGCTCAAGTGCATCTGGCTTGTTTGATTCCTAAACCTTTCTCAGGTTTGGCATCTTAACAGATTGCAGCTTCCCACGGCAAGGGAGCAGAGGGGTGATGTTTCAAGCGATCTTTACAGTGTGTTGCAATGTACAATGCTGCCACGCCGAGGGTTGGAGACTCTCCGGTGTTGAGTTAACATGCAAGCATACGCAGGCATCTGTGACAGAAAACTAACTTTGCAAGTGTTGCATGCATGTCGTGACCTTGTTGTTGCGCACTCGCTTGAAGAAACTGTTGCAGCTCTTTACCCAAGTCGTGTGCTAGTTGCTCTCCTGCCAGTCCTTCTCGCTTTAACATGGCAAGCGGACTTTTCGAACAAGTTGACAATGAGCCCGTCGAGCAAGACAAGAAGAAGGAGCGCAGAGTCAAGTTGTTCAGTTACGACTCCGTGGCAGCCCAAATGTTGGAACCATACGGAGAGAACGGATTGGATTCTCTCACTCTTCAGCAGGTGTGGGCGGGCACCTCCAAAGGAAACAAGAGCTGTGTCTACCACTCTCACTTGGCAGCCGATCAATCTTCAGACGCCTGGCATGTAGGCGCGGGCATCAGCATGACCGCGGCCGCGCTCCTGGCCGCCATCGATAATTTCAAGAGCCCGAACATGAAAAATCTTATCGTCCCGACGTTGTATGATAAGGTGCTGCTGGAGGTTACAACCCTGGAACCCATCTTGTTGGCCCTCAACTTCGGCAAGGGCTCAGCCAGTGCAACGGACACAGGTTCATTTCGGGCAGCAAAAAAAGCCAAGTTGACAACCTCCGCCAACGTCGTGAGTGCCACAGGCTCCACGGTCGATCCGGCAGACGCAGCAGTGAAGTTTCGCAACTGGTTGCTTCAGGAGAAGAGTGCGTTCAGAGGCTTTCTCTTTGTTTTGTCTGGTAAGAACAGTTACTACTCCGGTCAAGTGGCAGAGTTGGTGGCTCGCTCAGCCGTGACTTGCAAGCCGATGTCGGAGCAAGACTTTGTGAATGCAGTGAAAGCCCGAATGCAAAAGCCAGAGGAAGGGCTTGGCAGCAAGGTTGCCGGTTCGACTCCCTCGGGTTTGTTTGATGCCTGATCATCGATTGCCAAGCGCAATCAATTCGAGGGGTGCCGTTCGCAGTGTGTGTAAGCCATGAGCTGTAGTTTGCGTACAGTACTGTGAAAACACAATAGTCGACCCTGTGCAGCTCACCAGCAACACCCGCAAGCTTTTGTTTCTCCGAGTCGAGATACCACCAGACGGTAGGTGCTGAAGTGGCTTCTCGTTCGGCTCCCGAAAGTGTTGCCGTCATCCAGTCGAAACAAGGATGCCATCGCATGTTGCTTTGAAATGCTTTGTTAGTGTGCCTGCTGCAACATTGCCACAACGTAAATTGCAGCTTTTGGTTCTCTCCTATTGCTAGATTCACTCGCCGACCTTGCTAGATTCGCTCGCCGACCATGACCTTTGCGAACACAGGCAACTCGTGCTTCGTCAATGCCGGACTTCAGGCGATCCTGGCGTTGCCAGGCTTCGACAGCTTGAGGTCGACTACGGCGACGGAACAAGCCTTGCTGGAGGTTCGTTCTATGGTGTCAGCATCGCTTTCGGCGACCGTGCCCCAGCCAATTTTGGATTTGTATTATCGAGGACACCAGGAAGATGCTGCGGAGTTCATCGCTAACCTTCTCTTGGATTGCCCTACGATTCATAGCCAACTGCAAGGAACAGAAGGCGGTTGTCTCGCATGCACCACATGCGAATATCGCCGTCCACTCCCAGCGGAGCCTTTCTTGACTCTGCAGATTGCCTTGGTTCACAATGCTGAGCGACTTCGGTCGGTTCAGTCTGCTGTGGACACCTACTTGAATCAACAAGTGTTGCAAGAAGATATTCTGCACTGGGAATGCACAAGTTCCAGTTGCACCAGAGCAGGCACTTCTCGCAGGCCGCCACTACGCCTCACCGCGGTTCATGCATGGCCAGACAACCTCATCATCGTGCTCAAGCGCTGGGATGGCGTGCATGGTCTTCTCAATCACGAAGTTCTTGCTGACGAAAGGCTTCGAGTTGCAGAAAATGTTTGCTATCGCCTTAAAGCAGCGGTGTCTCACATCGGCGAAACGGCGGCTACTGGCCACTATGTGGCCTATCGGCCTCATGGAGATCGTTTTCAGCGGTTGGACGACGCTACAATCTCGGAGGTCGCTACGAACCCTGGACAAGGGACAGCTTCCACAGGGGAGAAAGTTTACATCGTTTGCTACACTCGTGCTGAGCATGATGGTGACGTTGGGCGAGCTCTTCCTGTTAAACGACCTATCCTCGATTTGACCTCATCCCAGGATTCGGACAGTGATGTGATCGTCGCAGCAGAGCAGCCTGCAAAGTCATCTAAAAATGAGAACGCTCCTCAGCAGCCACACGTAAAGAAAGCCAAGTGTACACCAAGCTTCGAGCACGAGGAACTCAAAAGAACACCGTTGGGCAACTTCAGCAACTACCTGCAGAAGGATCGCGAAATCATTGTGCATGCTTTGAAGAACAGTGAGTCCTTTGCCGAGGCTCTAGGCGACATCCGAGCTAATGTCGAAAATTTCACGCTGACCTCCAACTCCAAGTACCGTCTTCATCGCAACACATTGCTCAACTGGTTTCGGCGACCGGAACTTGCTGAGAGAGCTCAACGACTGGTGCAGACCTCTGCTCCTCAACACAGCTTCTCTCGGAAACCATCCTGGAAAAGTGCTCTGGGCAATTTGCCGGCCTCGCCCCGACAGCAAGTTTTTCAAGCCTTGTCTTCAGGAAGTGGTACGAAGGTGCTCCGTGTGCTCCAAGACGGCGACCAGGCATTGGCCGGTGCCGTGCCCGCTCCAACTTTGCGGCGATGGCTGCGCAGCTCGGGGCCTTCCGTTCAACAAGACGAGCTTCCTGTCTTGCACCAGACTTGGAGCGAGGAATATCAACGCAACTTCGGGGTCTTGACACAAGTCCAGGCCATGAGAAGCAGCCAAGTTGGCGACAACATCAGTGCCAGCGGCTTGTGGCTGATGGAAGGTTCGTGGACTTTTTGTCCCAGCTGCGGTCGCAAGCGAGCCCGCACGAAGACGCAGCGATGGTCCATCTCAGACTTGCGTCATGCTCAAGCTTGCTCGCCTTGCTGCGACCCGCCTGCAGTTGACTTGCTCGCGCCGGCCCCTGCCAACATCCTCCCGACGAAGTTGACGGTGTACACAACTCCACAAAAAAGCACATGGCATTCTTGGTCCGCTGCCATTGCTTCAGGAGACTTGCCATTGACGGTGGTGCTGTCCGAGACTGACCTGAACAATTTGGCTGTGCTCACAATTCACGTTGACTTCCGCAGCCGCAGAGGAGGGAAAGCCGAGGTTACCAGTAAACAGAAACGGTCTCTCACTCGCTGTCGTTGGAAAGGCCAACCTCTTCGAAGTGTTCCTCGCAGTGATGTCGCTGCTCGTGCATTCGCTTGGCTGCTGCAAAGCAACAACACCTACCGCCAGTGGGTTGATCGACATGAAGGTCTTTTTCAAGAACTCGGCGGAGATGTTTTAGCCAAGACGGAGATCCAGACAGCAGAATTGTTGCTGAGCTCGCCGGCCGTCGAGGTGGCGGCCCGGCCTTGGCTATACCCCCTAGCGAGTCTCGCTGACACGGATTATCAGGAGCGCTTGGTTAGCTTGGGGTGGACGACTGCCAGGAACAAGCCCAGCATCAGAACGGGCTTTTTACGAAAATTGGAGAGTCGCTGCGTCGACTATGCCAGGGATTTTCCACTGCAATGTCTCCTTTACGACATCTGCATGGCCAAGACCATCTCTTCCGTGCAGGCCATTGCTGAAAAGCA